CTCTCTCTCTCTCTCTCTCTCTCCAGACAGCACTCTTCTTTACTTTCTCTGCTGGGACTTAAGCCTGTTTTCCACCCATTCCACCCATCTAAACCAAGCAAGTCAAGGAAAAAGGGCAGAGGCCAAAGGGCATGGGGCTCCTGCAGCTCTCTCACATGGAGGGGGGCACCCAAGGGCACAGAACTCTGTGGCTAACTAGGATCAGACTGGGGGCTGAGCCCAGGGGTACATGATGTATGTGGGCTATGTCCTGGGGAGACATATAGAAGCACACTTCTGGAGGGATATGTCCCTGGAAGCAGTGATGTGACGTGTATGGAGCAAGCCACATGAGTAGATAAGGGGGTCATGTACAGGTATATAAACATGTTCACATTTCAGGAGTGCACATGCAAAATGCTTTTTAACCAGTGATGTGAAGGGAGTTATGAGTGTGTGTACGTGCATATGTGTGAATTAAGATTGTTAAGACCGTGGGTTAAGCCTGACCATGGGGTGACTGAGCAGGACCCTCAAGGTCTGACATATGAACGCAATGTCCTTCAGCTTTGGAATGTTTATTCATCTCCATGGGCAGTGCTTGGGCCATTTCTAACCCAGTTCAGGTCATAGCCCATGGCTCAAGGCAGTATGGGAACTGTGTCCCCCTGGGTAACCTGTGGACCCCATTGATTTTCAGGCTTGAGACAGGCCAAGATGCCTGGCATGGGGGTGGCTTGGGCTGGGAATATCCTTCCACTATAGCTTTAGGAGTTGGGAAGCTGAGGGGCCTGTGGCCTCCTATCATAACCACATCCCCAAACCTGGGCCAGACGATGCTCTCAGGATATCCTCTAGCCATTGTCCATCTGGCTATGAGTCAAGTTGTCCAGGCTACGGACAGACACACCTGGATGGCAACAATATGCCCTGGTTAGAGGGATTGGGGTGCCCGCTGAGACACCTTTCCGAACTAACCTGGCCAGCTTTGGGCTTTGGCTCTCTGCCTCTCAGAACTGTTCTCCCAGAGAGTACCTCCTCTGACTGGCTGTTCTCTCATGGCCAGACAGGTGGTATTGACTGTAGCCCTGGGGAGGCCATCTATAAAGATACCCTGAGGAAAAGGGGCAGAGGAAGGGGCACCTGGGAGTCCTGGATAAAACCAAAGGTCTTGGGCTTCTACTTGGTTCAGGTTTTGCTGGGTGCTGTGGTTTCTCACAGGGCCTCCCTGCCGATCCCTCACAAGGACTTAGCTTCAGAGCCCAATAGCTAACCCCCGTAGACCCTCCTGGTCTCAGGCTCCCTTCCTTCAGCCAAACTTGGCAAGGCCAAGCAATATCAGTTGACATTCTGGCAGCAGCGTGTGTGTGTGTGTGTGTGTGTGTGTGTGTGTGTGTGTGTGTGTAGAAATGGGTCATCTGAGTCAGTGGACCACACATGACTCCAGCCCATAGTGCGGGGTTCACAAGTCTTTTGGTCTTGTTAACTGCCCCCAGCTTCTCTCCTTAGCCTCTGGGGCACTTACCTAGCAGTAGAGTTGACACTTGGGTCTCTCTGCATGCCTGGATTCTTTATGGAAAGGAGATTGGGGTCAAGGGTGCTCGTGGGGGACTAAGAAGGCTTTCAAAGGAAACGGTGTTAGTGCAGAGGTGTGGAGGAAGCAACAGAGGCATGTGGCCACGTGGAAAAAGAGGCAGGGAAGCATGTTTTCTAGGGCTGGGCTGTGTGGATCAGTACAGAAGGAGAAGAAATGTTTGGTTTCAAGAGTATTGAGTCAGTTTGCGAGATCAGGCAGGGCAAGGTGGGAAAGGGGACAGGAATGAAAGCCACTGAGTCATTGGATGCCACCTGATGCCAGGTTGGCTGGGTGTTGGGTGTCTGTTCTCGAGGAAATAAAGGCTCAGGTTGGAGAGGGTGGTAATCTGTTTCCTAAGCTTATGTCAACCAATGCCCACAAGGAGGGCTCTTGAATTTGAGCTCTGTGAACTGGTCAAGAAGCAAGTGACTTAGGGCCTTCTGTGACAGGCTGGGGCACAGAAGCCATGGTACACACTCATGGATCGTCTGCTCGCTCCCTGCAGTGGGGAGAGGGTGAGCCACTTAGAGAGAGAGCAGAGAGTTGCTAAGTGGGCACAGCTTGAGATAAGAGTGTGAGGGATGCTCACCCCCAGTCGCCTGCCTCACTGTCTCCTGGCCCTGGGAATGAACTTGCAAAAGCAAGAGGGGACAGTTGGAAAGGAGGCCAGCGGCTAGTGTGCTCCTCGACTGTGCCAGACCTTACCCTGGTGTCAGACTTCACTCCCATTTTGCAGATGTTAAAAAGGTATCTATACATACACACTCACACTCAAACGCACATATGCACACACACATGTACACATATGCATACACACTCACACACACAGTGTCTTATGGTTTCTATTCTAGTGATAAAACACCATTAGCAAAAGTAATTTGGGGAGGAAAGGGTCTATTTCAGCTTATGACTCTCAGGTCACACTCCATCACTGATAGAAGTCAGGACAGGAACCCAAAGCAGGAACCTGGAGGCAGGAGCTGATGTAGTAGCCATGGAGGAGTGTTGCTTACTGGCTTGCTCCTCGTGGCTTGCTCAGCCTGCTTTCTTATAGCACCTAGCCCAGGAGTGGAACCACCCACAGTGGCCTGGGCCCTCCAACATCAACCATTAATAAGAAAACACCAACAGGCCAGTCTTACAGAGGCATTTTCCCAATTGAGAGATCTTCTTCCCAAATGACTATAGCTTCTACCAAGTTGACATAAAACACACACACACACACACACACACACACACACACACACACACACACACACACGCGCGCGCAAAGTCCACATCACAGAAGAATACTAATGAATTTAGTGCTTCTGCAAATGATCAGCATAAGCACCTGCCCTTGCTCAAAGCCCATGTCAATCCCTGCCCATCAGTCGGCACCTATGTCCGTTGGTGTCTCAGAGGCTGTTGTATAGGAGAAATGATGGCCATAGAAAGCCAAAGGATTATACCATGGAACCAGAATCTCATGGAAGCCGTGAGATTCAGTGAGGAGATTTAGAGGGCATGTTGGATCTTTTATCCCACATAAGGCCATAGACAAAACAGAACTTGGACACTAGGCCAATGAATGACAGAAAAAGAGAAAATTGAAGTATGAAAAGTTACAATGGGCTAAACAGAGAATTCTCTAGAAAATTTGTGCCTACCCAACTCAATACTTGTTTTGTTTTGTTCGTTGAAAGTTGTTTGATTGTTTGTTTTGTTTTGTTTTGTTTTGTTTTGTTTTGTTTTTTGAGACAGGGTTTTTCTGTGTAGCCCTGGCTATTCTGGAATTTGCTCTGTAAACCAGGCTGGCCTCCAACTCAGAGATCTACTTGTCTCAGCCTCCCGAGTGCTGGAATTAAAGGCATGTGCCACCACTGCCTGGCTTCACTGAAAGTTTTAATATACAGTTATAATCTTATTTTGACCCAATGTAGGATTCTGTTTTCAAGTTGTTGTTTTTCTTTTCCAAAATAAAATTCCAGTGGAAAACTTTCTTCACCATTTCCCATGAAACATGGTCACTGTTTTAAGTGGATTCAAGTCTGATCTGGTGACTGGGGAGTGGGGCTGGGGGAGGTACAGAGCCCTTCTGCAGTCTGTGTTCCAGCCTGTGTGAGTTGAGTAAGTGAATGGATGAGCAGGGAACTGAGAGCTGTCTCCGGAATCAGGCACTTTTGTCTATTGGGCTGATTGCTTTCATGGGGGCTACTACCACACCTCACCTCATGTCCTCTGTCCATTCATTCAGCATCTAATGGGCACCCACTGGGTGCTAGCCACTCTCCTGAACACTATTGAAAACAAATAAAAGCTCCGTCTTTGTGGAGTTTATATCATAGTGAGCCCACTGGTCAGTGTCCTCTTCTGCCACACCTTAGTCTCCTGGTATTGTGGCTTCTGCCCCTGACCATCACTTGCAGACCAGGACATTCATGGCTTCACTAGCCAGGTTTGATTACGCTGCAGTAAGAATAAGCACATGTTCATGCCACATGTCCAAAGCAGGTCACATGTCATCATGGAATGCCATCACTCCTCCACACGTGCTTCCAAGGTTCCTATGGCAGGAAACAGGACACCGCTCAGCACACATTGGCTTTCTAAGCCTGTAGTCCAGAAGGGAAGGAGTTCACTTCTGCATAGCTCACGAGCTGAAGCAAGACACACCTCAGTTTTTCAAGGGGGCAGGGGCGTGCAGCCTGCCCTGTCTCTATGACAAGGAGAGCCCAGAACTGCTCAGCAGCATGCGGATCATTGTAGGTTTAACCACAAGAGCATGGAAGCCTGTCAGAACACTCACAGGACATGGGGCAGAATGGAGAGATTAACCTGGAAGAGGCTTCCGGAATCTTAGCTCCCAATAGCAACCCCAGCCACTGGCTCTCAGCTCTAATCAGCAAATGAGACTTCCCTCGGAGTCCAACTCCAGCCGCTTGCAGGTCTAAGCTTAGCAGAGCAGCAGATTAGCTTTAAACAGAAGACTCAGCCCTCCTTTGCATCCCATCTGAGCCCAGGTCCCCTGACCCTTAAGATCGGTCACAGGGCTGCTGGCTTTTGTCTCTTGTTTTTTCTCTCTCCTGGCTCTTAGCCCTTTAACGTTTAT